CTTTCTTTCTTTCTTTCTTTCTTTCTTTCTTTCTTTCTTCCTTCCTTCCTTCCTTCCTTTCTTTCTTTCTGTCTTTCTCTTCCTTCTCGAATCTTCTTGCACAAAATTACTAACTTGGAAATGTTTTATATGATTGCACATGTATAATCTATATCAGAGGAGGGGAAGGAAGGAGGAATAAAATTTGCAACTAAAAACTTTTTTTAAATGTTAAAAATTGTTTTTACATGTAATTGGGGGGAAAATAAAATATTATTTTAAAAAATTACTTTGTATTTATCTTGTAAATGCTTTGCTGTTATTTTAACTTCTATTTCTGTTCATCTTTTAGAACGTAGCTTTCTAAAGACTGTTTCTACTTTGTCTTTGGATTCCCAGATGCAGCACATCATAGTCACTTAATAAATGCTTGTCGATTATTTGAATGATTCAAGGTGATCAGGCCCCTCCAAAAAAGTGCTCTGTAGTCAATTTGTTGATACTGGTGATAAGCAATTACCAGATCCTATTTTGACCAGAGTCAGCACCATTGGGGCAGGGTGGGGTGGAGTGGGGTAGGGTGGGGTGGTGTGGGGGGTGGGGGTGGGGTGAAAAAAGCACTGGATTTGGACTCAGAGGCCCTGGGTTCAAATGCTAGCTCTGTTGCTTATTAGTTGCATGACTCTACTGCCCTGGACCGTAGTTTCTCAGAGCCTTGTACTCTGGGGTGGTTTTACACCAAAGGCTGGATCAGACCCTTTCTGCTTGTATCCACTCTTTCCTCCTGACTCTAGTCCTTAACTTATGGGGAGCTCCAGGAGAAACAGGGGGTGTGTCCGTGTGTGTGTGTGTGTGTGTGTGTGTGTGTGTGTGTGTGTGTATGTGTGTGTGTGCATTTGACCCCTGGGAAATTGAGAACATAATGCAAATCTTTCTGTCTTGTTTCTCCTTTCACCCTGCTAAATTAACTCAGATGAATTAATTCTCTCCAACAGCTCTTGGACCATTCAGATGGGGGAATCCTGATTTTAGCTCCTGAGACTTTTATTGCCTAAAACCCTCAAACTAACTAACTCTATTTTGGTGGGGAAAGAGTCAGCTAACTCCCATGCATTTCAGAGGACTGCCTAATCAAATATATTTCCCTCATAAAAACAGGAAAACCTGAGGCACACAGAGGGCAAGAAATTGATTATAGAGCCCATGCGTAATCAGAGATTTAGAACAAGGGTCAACTAGTCTAACCCCCTCATCCTGCAGATAAAGAAACTGAGGCCCACGGAGTTTATTGACTCGCCCAACATCACACAAACAGGAAGAATGGTACCATAGGTGGATAAGCATCAGAGACTGGGTGTGAACCCAAGTCTTTTTTTGGTTTTTTTTTTTTTTTTGCTTTTTTTGGTGAGGGGATAGGGTTAAGTGACTTGCCCAGGGTCACACAGCTAGTAAGTGTCAAGCGTCTCAGGCTGGATTTGAACTCAGGTTCTCCTGACTCCAAGGCCAGAGCTCTATCCACTGTACCACCTAGCTGCCCACTCCCACCCCTTTTAAAGCAAAATTCCAAACTGCTTTCCAGAAAGGTTGGACTCATTCACAGCTTCATCAGCAGTGAGTCAACCTTCCCACAGTCAGACTGCCACTGACTATTTCTATCTTATGTCATCTTCTCAATTCACTGTGTTTCAGGTGACGCTTCTGGGTTGTCAATTTCCATTTCCAACAGCAATCTTGAAAGAATTCTTAGCTTGTTCAGGGTTGGCCCCAGTTTCCTCATCTGTAAAAATGAGCTGGAGAAGGAAATGACAAACCACTCCAGTGTCTCCGCCAAGAAGACCCCAAATGGGGTCACAAAGAGTCTGACATGACTGAAATGACTGAACACAAAATCCTTTCAGGCTAAAACTGGGCACTTTACAGCTTAAAGTAGAAATAATACTTTTGTACCCCAAACCCTTTCTTATCCTTCTTCCTTCTGTCATTCCTCTTTTTCTTCCTCATTCTTCTTTCTCTTCCTCCTCTTTCTAGTCCTCATTCATTCATTTTTTTATTTAACAAACATAACTTTTGTAGTACCTAGTACAGTGTTTTTTTGAATTTTAAAAAATGAATGAATGAGGACTATAAACAAGGAAAGGGAAAAGAAGAAAAGAAAAATGAATGAAGACTATGAAGAGAAGAAATACTGGGAGAAGAAAAAGAAGGAACTTTCTTTCATTGTGCAGATAGGTCCCACAAGAGCATGAAAGAAAATTAGAATCATTTTTTCCTGGGCTTATTAAAGATAAATACAAAAGTTAGTGTAATCGAGGGGCTAATTCCAGGTAGAAACAACATTTGATTGAAGGTGAGGGTTTGAGTCTATCCCATTGTCTTTCATAGGCCTCTCTATCCATTATTTCATAATAGGATAATTAGGTTCTAGAACTATCCCTTAGGAAAACACAGCTCTTTCCAGACCACTTGTTTCAGTCTCAGGATTTATTCAAATCTTTCTATAAACCAAACCAAACCAAACAAACAAAATCTTGTTTGCATTCAGCAAAACTGACTGCAACCGGAAGCCAGACTCAGGTAAATAAATGGGGTTACACACACACATACACACACAACTCTAGCAAGGCAAAGCACAGGTTTCCTTCCCTGGTTGCTCCTTTTTTCTATGGGTCACCTGGCGCAGCTGTGCATTTCATTGCTAGCTGTACATCTGTGTCTTTGTAAACTGGGCTAATCCATAGTAGCAGATTCAGAGGCAGCCAACTGCTTCTCCCTCTGCTTCAGTGCCTAAGCTGTGCTAGGGTTTTTGTTTGTGTTTTGTTTTGTTTTTTCCATTTTGTATTTGGGGCCTGAAGGAACTTCCATCCAGTGCCCATAGGGGAAGGTCTAGGTCTAGGAGATTGGGCAGTGTCTAGATTTCAAAATTTAACCTGATTGGTTGGTGTGGAGTTTTTCTTGATCTTTTGTGAATTCTCTCATTGTTTTTTTCTCCTGCGTTGTTTTTTTTGGGGTGCTATCCTTCTAAAGACAAGTCTCCACCTGAGCAAACAAGATGCCCACTGATTTCATGGTGAGTACTGTTATGCTTACCCTTGTAGGCTCCTTGTAGGTTGGCTTTGGTGGTAGTGATTGGGGACGGTCATTCATTAGGACATTTCTTATCCCAAACCAGCAGAGAGTGTCTGTCTTATCTCAATGAAGCCTCTTTCCCCACCAAAATACAGTACCATGTATTGTCTGACACTTTGAGCAGCTCTTCCCCTGAAGCCCTCCTGGATCCTCTTAGTGAATGTGTTCTTTCCTACCTTGTGTTTTCCTAGAATACTTTGTCTGGAAATTTCTTTAGCTCTGTTACACTCAACCCTGCATTACAAATGCTTGTCTGTGTCCATGTCCTTTCTCCTCCACATATACGCTCTTTGAAGACAGGGATCATCCTTTCCATTACTTTTTTTCCATTTTTTTTTTGAGAGGCAATCGGGGTTTTGCTCAGGGTCACACAGTCATTACTTTTTTGATCTCCACTGCCCCCAGGGACTTGCACCTTAGGACTGGGATTGGGATTTCATTGGCATAGGGAATTCCCAGGTGAGGAACCTTTCTTCTGCCACTTAGCCATAAAGAGCTGCCTAGAACACTGGAAGTTAAGAGATTTGCCTGGGATTGTTGTTCAGCCCCATCTGACTCTTCATGACCCCATGGATCGCGGCATGCCAGGCCCTCGACCAGAGGGGCTCATCTTCCAACGTCAAGCATTTTAATGCTGTCTGTAGAGTTTTCCTGGCAGATACTAGAGGGGTTTGCCATTTCCTTCTCCAGGGATCACCTTTTGTCAGAACTCTCCACATGGCCTGTCCATATTGAACTACGCAAGCCCCTCCGCCATGATAAGGCAGTGATCGAGGAGGGGCTGCCCAGGATAACGAGCCAATATTTGACAGAGTGGGGATCTGAATCCAGGTCTTCCTGGCTTCAAGGCTAGCTTTCTATATACGACGACCCAATTAGCTTGAATCAGGGCAGTCAGGTAGCTCAGTGGCTAGAGAGCTTGAGTTCAAATCTGACCTCAGACACTTACTAGCTATGTGACCCTGGGCAAGTCACTTAAACTCAGTTTCCCTAACTGTGAAATGGAGATAAAAATAGTGCCTACCTCAAAGACTTGTTGTAAGGATCAAATGAGATAATATTTGTAAGGCTCCTAGCACATTACCTAGTATATAGCAGGCACTAAATAAATGCCTGTTTCCTTCTTTCCTTCCTGTTCAGTCCGGTCTTTTCCCCAGTCCCCTGTCAGTGCCAGGCTTTTGCCTTGTTTGTTTTTAAAGCATGCCCTCCCTTACCTATAGGTCACTCAACAATAGCTTACAGACCATACTGTAACTCAAACAACTAGATTGTTTAGAGCCTGACATTCATGACCAGAGCTTGGGAATGTGCTGGAACTGGGCCTCTAGTCTCTTGTGGGGTCACTAGCTTTCTCTCTCTGACTCTCCTTCTATGAGTAATACATATATTTGTAAACTCTTTGAAAGGAGAGACCTCAGTTTTCTTAGGTAAGTAGAGCATGGGTTTTTTTTGTCTTTTTGTTTTTTGCTTTTCGGTGAGGCAATCGGGGTTAAGTGACTTGCCCAGGGTCACACAGCTAGTAAATGTCATGTGTCTGAGGCTGGATTTGAACTCAGGTCCTCCTGACTCCAAGGCCAGAGCTCTATCTACTGCACCACCTAGCTGCCCCATGTTTTTTTTAATATACATATCACCTATCTTTAAATTAGATTTCATTTTTTTCAGTAATCAAATATTTACTTTCTCTTCCTCCTACTGGGTCCCCCACCCACTAGAAAAACAAAACCAAAACTTGTGCAACAAACAAGCGTGGTCAAGCAAGACATGTTCTCATATTAGGTTAGGGTATATTTTTAAAAAATGTTTAAAAGCTACTACTTTTGGAAACATTCTAGAATGAAAATATTCTCACACAAAGATAAAATCAATCGACAAAACCTCTAATTAGATCAGGTCATTCCAGAAAGCTCATATGCTCATAGATTCAGAGCTCGAAGGGAACTTAGAGGTCACCTAGTCATTTTACAGATGAGGAAACCGAGTCACAGAGAAGCAATGTGACTTGACCAAGTCACTAGGAAAGGTTGATTAGAATTTGAACCCAGGTCCTTTGTCTGTTTGTACCCTTCTACTGTGATTATTGTTCCCATGCAGATGACTCCCAGATTTACATATCCTGTCCTTATCTCTCTCCTGACCTCTAGTCCCTACATCACCAACTGCCTGCAGCCCCATCTGGGGGTTCCAAAGGCATTTCAAACTCAACACATCCAGTACAGAACTTATGATCTTCCTCCCCAAATTCATCCCTAACTTCCCTATTTCTGTCAAGGATACTACCATCTTTCTAGTCACCCAAGTTCACAACCTTGGAGACACCTTTGACTCTCTGTACACAGATCTCCTATGGACAACTGGTTGTCAAAATGCTCATGAAGTGAATGACAAAAGACAGATGTGAAGTCAGGAAGGCCTAAATTCAACTCTGATGTCAGACAATTACCATCTGTGTAATCCTGGACAAATCACTTAAGCGCTGCCTCAGTTTTCTCATCTGTAAAATGGGGGTAATAATAGATAATAACAATAATAATAATAAAATGGAGATGATAATAGCATCTACCTCTTAGGGTGGTTGTGAAGAACAAATGAGTTAGTAAAGTACTTTGCCAACCTAAAAGTGCTATATAAATGTCGTTATCCTTATAAGGAAAAGAAGGCAACACAAGACTGATTTAAGCAAATTTAAAGAGATTTAAATCTCTGCTAGGAGTGGAATGGAGAGGGAGTGTTCCCTGCTTTACTGATTACATAAGTCTTATTAAACAATTTGTAATTTAAGTTAATCTGATAAGTATTAGAGACATTGCTTTTCTTGTTGTTCAGTCGTTTTCCAACATGTCCCATTCGTTGTGAGCCCATGTGGAGTTTTCTCAGCAAAGATACTACAGCGGTTTGCCATTTCCTTCTCTAGGTCATTTTACAGATGAGGAAACTGAGGCAAATAGGGTGAAGTGACTTGTCCAGGGTCACACAGCTAGTAAGTATCTGAGGCCAGATTTGAACTCATGAAGACGAGTCTTCCTGACTCCAGGCCCAGCACTCTATGCACTATGGCACCTCCTAGCTGTCCCTGACATTGCTTTAGCAACTCCAATTGAAAGTCCATTTTAGGAAGATGTTGGCAAGTGAAACAGATCTTCAGCGATGGTCAAGGCATCTTTTAGTTACAAATCTACTACTACTGGGGGACAGGGTAATAGTGTTTATTCCATCTAATTGGTTTCCATAGCACTTTCCAGATGATAAAACCCAGACAGATGTTTAGTTTGAACCACAAAATCAAACCTGCCCTTTAAAGTAGGTCTTTAGAACTGGAGAGGACTTACAGATCATTTAGTCTGAGACTCTCACTGTACAGAAGAGAAACTGAGTCCCAGAGTAGGGACGTGATTTAGGACCATACATTTAGAACTGCAGGGGACCCAAGGGTTTGTTTTTTACCCAACCCCCAAATTTTACTGAGTTTGAGAGAGATGAAGTTACTTCCCCTGGCTCACACCAGCAGTAAGTGAGAGAGCTTGGGCTCTGATTCTAAACTCAGGGCTTTTCCCACTGAAACACGACATTTGAAGTTATTGAGTAATTTCACAAAGTTCTCACAATTCTAACATATTACCCATTCGTAGACTTAATACCTTAACATTCTCTCTTGAAAACAGAAAGTCAGAGAGGCTCTGGTCAATGGGGAAAATATTAAAAACTTAAGTGTCTGATACAGAGGAAAAAGAGTTTTTTTATGATATGGAGTCATAAGACCTTAGTTTGAATCCTGGCTCTGCCCGTTGTGTGACCTTGAACATATCATTCACCTCTATGGATCTTAGTTTCTTCATCTGTAAAATGAAGAGGTTGGACATGGTGCCCTTTGATGTCCCTTTGAGCTCAAGAGCTATTAAATATTCTCTTTTTGGTTTCTCTCCTACTTTTCCTTAATTCAGCTGAAGACCAAAAGAAAACCCATTTCACTTGTACCTTATACATGATTCGGATGATTTATTTCTCACCTAACAATCATTTGTCTTCTACTTAATATCAGAAGGGATATTTAACCAGAAGCATGAAAGGGGGTTAGTTTAGGATACTAGTTAGTTAACTAGTTAATGGATTCATCCATTAGGGTTATATCTCCCCATCTAATCACACATTTTCTTGGAACTAAAGTCTTTGCCTTCATCATAATTCCTGGCAGGGAATGTAATATCGATGAATTTCACACTCCTGAACTTCTCAAATGGGAGCATGACACTTCCAAGGCTGAGTCCAATTCTCGAATTCAAGGCTTCTTAGGGAAACTAACAAATCACTACACGTCACCATAGGATTAGAAACAGAAGGACAATTTCATAATTTCCAACCTTTTTCTTTTCTTTTAAAAAATTATTTAGTATTTTATTTTTCTCTGATTATAAGTAAAAAAATTTTAACATTCATTTCAAAACTTAGTTCCAAATTCTCTCCCTTCATCCCTTCCCACCCCATTGAGAAGGCAAGCAATTTGATATAGGTTATACATGTAAAACATTTTTCCATATTAGTCATTTTGTAAAAAAAAAAAAAAAAGACCAAAAAAAAAAAAACCCCTGAAGAAAAATAAAGAAAGCTAAAAAAAAAAAGGATGCTTCAATCTGCATTCAGACCGCATCGGTTCTTTCTCTGGATATTGATAGCATTTTTTTTTTTAAGGCAATTGGGGTTAAGTGACTTGCCCAGGGTCACACAGCTAGTAAGTGTGAAGAGTTTGGTCTGAGGCCGGATTTGAACCTAGGTCCTCCTAACTTCAGGGCCAGTGCTCTATCTACTGTGCCACCTAGCTGCCCCTAGCATTTTTCATCATAAGTCCTTCAGACTTGTCTTGGATCGTTATATTGCTGAGAATAGCTAAGCCATTCACAGCTGATCATCCTACAATATTGTTATTACTTTGTACACAGTACATTT